TTCAAGGTTTAGGGCTTAGGGTTCAAGGTTTAGGGCTTAGGGCTAAAGGTTTGGGGCTTAGGGTTCAAGGTTTAGGGCTTAAGGGTTTTGGCTTTGGGGTTGGAAGTTTTGGAGGTTTAAGGCTTAGCCTTTAACATAATGATAGTCTTGGGGCTCTATAAGCATATTGTAAGGATATTCTGGGGAAATGGTGGGATATCATAGGGAAAACCTTGAACGCCAGTAGACCATAAATTTGGGTAAGCGCAGCCCATTTTCAGAGTGTAGCAGCCCATAGTTTTACGTACCTTGGCTTTCCGGGCAGGGTTTGTAGCTTGAGGTTTAGGGCTTAGGCTTAGGGTGTGCTGGACTTAGACTTCATGGTGCGGGGCACTTAGTGTTCAAGGTTTGGGGTGTCGGATGTGCAGTTCGGGGTTTAGAGCTTAAAGTTCGGGGTGCAGGTTTTATAGCTTCAGGCCTGGGGCTTCGGATTTACGGCGTAGCAGGGTTGAGGACGTGAGGTCTATGGTAGCTTCATTGAATTTCGCGAAGAGCAACCCAGTAAAGGATGAGACCCTTGCGGCATGCAAGGACCCTTAGATGGACAATCTGGCACGGAAAATCCTTTTGCTTTAGGTGCTGCTCTGGGCCCTGAATGTAAGCCCTAGAGTCTAGGGCTTAGGTTTAACCTGTAAACGCTTGAAAATCTCTGACAGACAACCTTCTCGACTCCAAATAAAGACCTTAAAAATGTAGTCAGAATTATTGACACCCGCAAAGTGGGACACTCGGTGTATAACAACATGTAAGAAAATCTCCACGTTGCAAGCCATGACCCTACACCCTACGCCCCAGATCCTTAGACGAATGTTTTTGAGGCATGGCTCCCTTGACAACCCACTTCAAGGAATAGAGCAGAATTAGCATGTTGTTTAGCGTTTAGGGTTTAGGGTTTAGGGTTTGGGGTTTAGGGTTTAGGGCTTAGGGTTTAGGGTTTGGGGTTTAGGGTTTAGGGTTTAGGGTTTATGGTTAAAGCGGACCAACAATGTAGCTGCTGAACCCTGACGTGGTCCTTAGCACAGGATGGGGCTCCTGGGGACAGCTTACATCACTTTAAGCCATTGTTTTTTTGTCACTTTTTTGAGGGTCCGCCTCGATTTGTTTTTGCAAAATGTGCCTTGGGTATCCCTAAACCTTCGAGGAAGAACCCTAAACCCTCATTCCCATGGGGGAGTAAGTAGGGTAATACATGAATAATCCAAGCCACTGCACGCGGAGCCTTGGGGACCTAAACTAGACCCATATCCTGGCTCTTGATGCCCAAGCCCTGAAGACCTTCATAAGGGCTACATGCGCGCAAACCCTATATCCTAAACCCCAAAATCTCCTTGATTTCAGCCCGGAGATCATGGGCTTCGGCCTGCTTGGTAGAAGATGGAAAGGTCCAAATAAGTGGGCGGGTATGGGGTATAGGTTAGAAGGACCCCCTACCCTGTAATAGTGGTAAAATAGGAATATAAGTGGACACGAATATAATCCTTATCATCCATAATAGTCACTATTACTGGGTGGGGGGTCCACCTAAGGTATAGGGCTCAACACAACATACCGGCCGAATGCGCACAGGTAAAGCTCCCGGTCCTGCCGCTTCAAGAAAAACCGAAATGTCTTTGAGAAGAGTATACATACAATCTCGATGATTCAGCTGAAATCAGCACGATACCCCATGCAACCCGGAATCGAGCCCGTAAGGAACTGCAATTTCTCGTGTCCCCATTCGGGACCAGATGCTGTGCAATGGTTTTGTGGCATTGAGGAGCCTTCTTGCATGGATCCACTCGAGCCCAGAACATGTGGCACTCTAGTGCAGGCCGCTGCCAGCAGACTGTGCAAAGGAAGATATGTTCAGAAGACTCCACAACACGGCGCCCGCAAGAATGACTAGTTGGTTGTCTGGATGTATTGCACAATACTTCTTCTGGAGTCTTAGGGAATTTGTTCAGCTTTACATCCCAGCGTTACAAGCCTAGATCGGAAAGTCCCTGCGCCTGAGCCCTGGATGTATAATAGCAAACAATAGACTCAGTAAACCCATCCCATACATTGTCGGGGCATGGTTTAGGCTTGAAGCGGAAGAGCTCTGGGATCTCAAACTGGGAGGAGCCCATCAGGGAGAAGAGAGACGCAACTACCGACCCCAAGGAAGATCTCAAAAAGAGGAACCATGATTATGGTGCATGCACCCTACAGCCTTCATCCCTTATAGCTACAAAAACCTTCCAAGCAAATCTGAGAACACATACCTAGGCCCCAGCCCATCCCTGTACAAGACAAAGGCATTTCAGCTACCAGGCGCTACCTTCAAGAACCTGCAGTTCCGTAGTCTATCATATTTCCATGGCCCACCCGCGGCTTAGCGTTTAGGGTTTAGGGCTTAGGATTTAGGGTTCGCGGTCCTAGGGCAACCCCATCACAAGCCTTGCAGGGTGATTTCCTAGCTTTTTGGCAGGCCTGAACTCCGTATGCAAAACCCCAAGCCCTACTTAGAAGCTCAGAAACGTAGTAGGTAGGTTCTAATCAAAAAGGGGCTATACACAAGCCAAATACCAGCGACTCGACTAAGTCCCTTGGTCCTGAACCCTCACTCTATACATGCCTCTATCTATCTATCTATATATATATATATGTATGCCGAGAATCCTTGGAAGGGTTCCCATAATAAGTTCCCCTGGCCTTCACATATCGTAGAATTGGAACTTATGGTGCCTCAAGTTCGACATCAGTTTCTACACTTACCCATATTTCAGGCTTTAGAGTTTAGGGCCCGGAAGCACGCACCCAAAGCCACAATGGAAATCCTACACCAATTAGGCACAAAGTGCCTGAAAGCATGAAATCCATGCAAATGGCCTCGCTGGCCCGTAGCCGATGATGCAGCGTGGCATTTAAGTCCACCTAGTGGGGTTCCAAAGAATAGGGGTCCCTTTTCTAGAGCTATATGGGGTTATGCAAGTTTATATTAAGGGTAGGTACGGATATGACCACTAGAGCCGTGTTTGGGTTTAGGGGTTTAGGGGGATCTGGGTTTTAAGGCTTAAAGTTTAAGGTGACCTAAACAAGGGGGGGGGTTCTTTAGAATTATGTAGGGTTATGTAGGGCATGTAGGGGTATAGTTGCCGGATATATAGGGTTTAGGGCTTCAAAAACTGGGGCCGGGGGTCTCATTATTATATGGGGTTATGTAGGGATATGTAATGATAGATAGGGGTATATAGTATAGGGATATACAGGGAAAAAGGTTCAAAAACGGTGTTCCCTTTTTGGGAGGTACTCATAACAAGAATTATGAGATATTGGGGTCCATATTTAAGCCCCCATTTGTGGAAACTCCCGCCTGAGCCATTTTGGATTCTCCATACGTGGAGGGCCAGGAGGACTTAGTAAGTAGGTTGATACTTAGCTGTCTTTAGGACAGACCCAAAAAACTAGTCCTAACAGCCAGGTTGAAAACAGCAAAGAATAATGGGGATAACTGGGGATATTCACGGCTACTGACTACGTCCCGCTGGCCCGCCAAGCATAATTTAGGGTAGGCGAATCAATGTTTCTTACAAACGTAATATGCCAAACTCAAAATCGAACCTTTCTTGATTGTGTGGACTCAGGGTTTTGCAAGGTGGGTTCTGCCCTTCGTGATATGCAATCTCGTCGAAGAATTTTCAAGGTTGAAGGCTCCCATGACCGGCCCACATGGTTAATTTTGTAGGGTTTAGGGCTTAGGGGTTTAGGGCTTAGGGGTTTAGGGGTTTAGGGCTTAGGGGTTTTAGGGTTGAAGATTACAGGCTGTGAAACCCTAGGAACCAACACCTTGAAGATCCTACAGCCCAACCGAAGCCTGCAAAACTCGACAGGGCGGACGTCTGCGGGAACCTCTCAAGATCCTGCCAAACCCTAGTTGAGATTTGCCAGAAAAAGGGAAAGCCCCCAATATAGACCTCAAAATACTATGATCCTTATTCTGGATGCTTCCAAGGAGCTACCCCTAATTTGGGAGCCCCCTAAACCCTAAACCCTGAATCATATTTTCATTGTTCTTTTCCGTTCCCAATATATCCCCGTTACCCTATAAACCGCACACCAGTAAACCCTAAACCCTGAGCCCTAAACCCTTAACCCCAAACCCTAAAAGCTTCGAAAGCCTGTTTCTCGAGCTTCGTTGACAGTGCAGAGCAAAGGCTTGCAGCCTGTCAAAAAAGTTCATGACGTGTATGGTTTGGGGTTTAGGGTTTACGGTTCAGGTATCTTGCGAAACACAGGTGCTATCTCGACTGGCTACTATAGTTGATGTAGGTTACAAGCTGGTATGAGGGCTTTCCAGCTTAGTATAGGATTCACCGGAAAGATTTCAGCCTTGGAATTGGGCGTCTAGGACTGCCGGCCAGCCTAGGATTTCCTCCCTCAGGCTTGGTAAGGAATGGAGGAATGGGGTATAGGGACAGTTACAGGGGTTATGTAGAACCTTAAACCCTAAACCCTACTATAAGGATCCAGTCACCCATCCCTAGCAAGCACCAGGCGATTTAGAGATGCGCCTCCCAACGCGGCTGCCTTTCCAGAGGAAAGTTCTGCGATGTGCAGACCCCAGGCCGCAGCCACGCGGTTTAGGGTTCAGGGTTTACGGTGTTTAGGGTGTTTAGGGTTTGGGTTTTTAGGGTTTAGGGTTTTTAGGGTTTTTAGGGTTCAGGGTTTTTAGGGTTTTTAGGGTGTAGGGTTTTTAGGGTTTTTAGGTTTTAGGGTTTAGGGTTTAGGGTTTAGGGGAGGCGCCGCATCGAAACAGTAAGACCATCAACACAAATTCTGAATCCAAGCCATGGAGCCCACATGCGCTATAGTCTAAACTCGTTGTAGAGAGGGGGGACAATAGGCGAGTATATAGGGGAGTACTGTAGGGGCTACGAAGGGGGATACTAGAAGTTTAGACTAATGTAGCTCACATGGTGCAACCCTGCGCTCTTTCATCCTCAGCTGGCTTGCAGAAGCTTGGTCCTCTCTGCATCGGCCCATCCCTTCGTGCGCGGTGCTTTGTCTACCGCAGCATCCTTCTGATAGTAGGCCTTGATGACGGAACCTGCACCAAGGCAGCGCGATTATGCATCTAAATGGGTTTGGCGCTAGAGTCAAACACATGAACATCGGACACAAGCGAGAGTCACTATAGTGACCTTAGCATGTGATGACCAGTGTCTTGACATCTGACTGAAGAGAGTGCGGTCAGTGCAGTCCCATTGTTGTAACTGAGCAGTTTGGGACATAGGTGACTACGCCGTGACCCAGGATGCGACGTGTGTCTAGACTTTCCTTGCCTTCCAGGCTGCTGCATGACTACCACATCATGTAAGAAACTCTATGCAGGCTACAGCGGAAAAACTCCTAATATCCCTCGTGGTACCTGATCTCACATGCTGGCCTGGGGTTTAAGATTTCAACTCCTTGCGTTCCAGCGGCAAATAAACTCAACGTCCTCCTGTTCAAGGAAGGAGTGCGTAGGCAGGTAAAAGCCCACCTGCTTGGGAGATCAAGTTTGGGTTTAGGGTTTAGGGCTTAAGCAAGTCCAGCTACTTACCCTCCAAACCAAGACCATTTGAAAGGACGGCAGGCTTGATGGGGCTCTGTTTTCGAGGGTTCCTTGTCAGCTTGGATCAAGGTCGCACCGGGGCCTACATAATTACCAACATCATGTTGAGGTCCACTTAATTTGAAGGACCTTATACCATGGCTGCGCAAGTAATCTTGAACCAGAGTATTGGCAATACTGTCAAATATTGGCATGGAAGAGCACAACCTCCAGCCCTAAACAGGGTTGGGTGGAGAGTTGTTTTTTAAGGGTTTAGGGTTTAGGGCTTAGGGTTTGAGGGTTCAGGGTGTAGGGTTTCCAAATCTTGGACTTCCTTTGGCTACTACCCCCAACCAGAAACAGTGGAGAACAGCGATAACACTCAAAGTTTTGTTTTTTCGTATTGTCATTAGTATCTGACTGTTACAGGGTGGGGCAATATCTTAGACGAATAATGATCGTATTTCTAGTACAATTACTTACCCCCATCCAGAAACAGTGGAGAACAGGGATACACTCAAAGCATTACATTTTCGTATTGTCATTAATGTCTAACTGATACTGGGCAGAACGATATCTCAGACAAATGATGGTCATTATTTTGGGACAGCGTGCCGAGAATCATACTTGAGGACCCTGAGTGGCATTCGATTCATCAATCGACATAGCTACCCCAACATACTGCGGATAGAAGGAGCCTAGCTACACAAGATCCCTGAAACCCTAAACCCTAAACCCCTAAACCTAAATCCTGAGGCTCGCAAAACTCAGTTGGACTTTGAAGGTCCCTCAAAATGTGAATAGAAGCCCTGATAAAACAGTTAGGGAAAATACTTATCATCCTAAATTGTGACCTTTGTCACCTCGAGTCGAACCCCAAACCCTAAACCCCAAACCTCAAACCCTAAATAAGCTCTAAGGATTAGGGTTTATAGGGGTTATAGTAAGGATAATGGAAAAGAAAACGGAAGCTACTAGGTACTATTGGGGTAATATCAGGGATCTGCCTCCAGGCATCATGTATAGTGAGCATCAAGAAACCTTATCTTGACTCTTGACGTGATTCCAGGAAGTACATCCTAGCAACCGCGTGTGATAAGGTTGGTATAAAGTCAAGGTCAAGAAGCAATACGAAAAAACCAGGGTTAGCCCCTCTACCCTGAAACCCCCAATCCATACACCCTAGACCCTAATCCCTGAGCCCAAACCCTGAACTCCCCCAACCTGAGCTAAGTGTTCCGCGTTGGGCAGCTCCACGTCATAAATGCCCACATCATCCCCATAGAAGTTTACGGGCTCCAGATGGAGCGGATAAAAGTAGTTCCTGCATGGTGTTTTAGGAATCCTCCAAAACGGCTTCAGGGTGAGACATTACAAAGAACTTCCGTTATTTACAGTATAAATTTCCAGCAAGTATAGGATGCAATCTGTTTACAACTTGGGTTTTGCCCTACCTAGGGCTTAAGCGGCTTAAGTGGATGAAGGACATAGCACGAAGCGAGCAACAGAATTTGCTGCATGACCGAGGGCTTTGGAGTCAGGCTACTTAAGTTGCACCCTCTTCAAATCTTCTGAATGCACCGAGACCCAACATTCACCAAGAGAGATTGCATTTACATGGTGCTTAGCAGGAAATGTAGGGTTGGTCCCTACTGTAGCCTGTATACACTTCTATATTCTAGTCTCTATATTCCATCTCCATTTCCTACTACTAAACCCTAAACCCTAAAGTAACTTCTTGTTTTGCCCTTTCCCCACTAAACCACCAGGTACAGGGAAGCATTTCAAATTGATCGACATTCCTTCCAGGATCCCGAAACTTTCCACCCTTTAGGGGGCTTCCAAACGCGCAAGGTGGAGGGGTCCTTAGAAACCCCGGGGATGTAGGGATCATGGAGGATCAATCCGGGAGCGTCATCTTTAGTGGCTTTGTAAGGATTGTTTCAAGAAACTCCGGCTCCAAGTAGGCTGGAGACTAGTTCCGTCTCAAGGCACTCCGGCTTTGGGTTTAGGATTTAGGATTTAGGGTTTAGGGTTTAGGATTTAGGGTTTAGGGTTTAGGGTTTAGGGTTTTAGGATTTTGGGCACGAAGGCTCCGTGAAATGTCGTAGAAATGGTGAGAACTAGCATGACAAGAACCAAACAAGTCCTCAACCTCAAACCCTAAAAATTTTAGCCTAAGCCCTAAGGCTTGAACTTATGCTCAAGGGAGGGTGGGGGAGTGGATCCCTATAATACACAAATAGCTATATACTCCCCTCAAACAGTCCCTGCATTTACTCCCCACTCCCCCTTGAGCACCGCTTAGCCCTAGACGTCCTAAACCCTAAACCCTAACCCAAAAGGATCAAACTGTCCATGTTCTTCTCCATTCCCTGCCCCACTCCTGGTCTCAATTCCATGGGCCGCGAGGTGGTCGCGCAGGGTATCGCGAGACTGCCGATCCCGCGTCTCCACGCCGAAGACCCAGGGGGCATCTACCTTCCTCCAGCGGCTTAGTGGTGCTTGTAGGGACAAGTAGGGATTCCTACCCTAAAGTAACTTCCTTCAAACAGGGCTTGCGGATACGGCCTCTCTCAAACTTACGGGGCTTCGAAAGGGAAGTTATCTAGCAATCATCCCGATCATATGGGTCATTCTGGAAATTCCAGGCTCTTTTCGTGAGAGCCAGGCGAAGGGGACTCTAGTTTTGGAAGCTACCATGCAATGGGTCTGGTACGAAGGGTCCGCGCAGAATGTGTTTCCAAGTGTCACCCGCAAGCTTGTGCCCTTAACCCTCAGCCCCTAGACCCCAAACCCTCAATCCCAATCCGTATCCTAGCCCCCAAACCCTTCCCAAACCGCTAAACGCCGCATCTACGCCCTGAGCAGGAAGCCAAAGCGAACAGGAAGCCAAAGGCCTTTGTTCGATGCAAGAGAGACCCTCGAGTTGCGAGAGGCCCTCGCGATACCAGGAAGCAACCTTCCCTGGGAAGCAAGGAGGATTGGGATTTATGGGGGCCACAAGGTTAAAGTTCGGGGTTTAGGGTTTAGGGGTTCCGAGGTTTGGGGGTTTGGGGGTTTAGGGGCTTAGTGGTTTAGGGGTTTAGGGTTTTAAGGTTCAGGGTTTGGGTGTCTCAGGACATGATATGCAGACGCAAAGCAAACTCGGTGATGACATGACAAGACTGGTGGTGGTATCAAACAATGAGACATGTGACAGTAGCAAGGTTTGGGGTTTACGGCAAGATGGATGCCGCAAGATGGAAATAGAGACGGGTGTGTCGGTTTGGATCCGAGCTTCTTTTGATTTGGGAGTCCCAAACTGAAGGGTCTTTTGGTGCCTGTCCCCTGTCCTCAAAGACAGAGAGATTTGCTGTAATATTCGGAGGCTCTGAAACCTCTAGACGGGCTACTACCCTAATCCTAAACCGTTTGGCCAAACTAAGAGCTGAGGGTGGGTGGTGAATCAGGGCATTACTTGTATTACTAGTATTGCTACCACGATTAATATTATTACAATGATTACTTTTGATTGGCATGCCAAGCCAAGTGCTGACCTACCATTCGGCAGTTGCCAACTCGATCGGCGACCTGCTACCCTTTCCTACCACATGGTAGGGTCGTAAACTAGTCACTGCAGTCCCTCATACCCGTTAGTTCCCATTGTCCGCATCTGAACTTGTTGTCGCACGGGTCCCCTAAACCCTACTCCCGTAAACCCTGAACCCAAAACTGCGGTCTACCCAGCCTCTATGCTGCATCAGCTGTGGCAGCATCTTCACCTGCTTCGGAATGCATCCGAAGACTTACGGGGCTTCAGATGGTTATACGGGGGCCTTTAGGATTTTCTAGGGCTACATAGGGGTCTCTAGGGTTCTTTGGGGCTATAAGGGTTGTGAGTTGTGGGTGTAGCAATTAACACCGATTCGATGCTGCCACAGAGGTCGTCTTGGTGGGTTCAGGAAGGTGGGTTGATGGCTGCGAATGCAGCTGCCAGCCATAAGACAGTTAGGTAAAAGGCTGTAGGCCTGCATGTGCTATTATTACTATCGCTAGTATTATTCCTATTACCTATGATTATGATATTGTTACGAATATTTCTAGTATCACGATTAGTACTATGACTACTACTATTACGGTTATTACTATTACGACGATTTTTACAGTTATTACTATTAGTACTATTGTTACGATTATTGCTATTATTACTACTTTCTCATCCGTCAGGTTTGGGGGAGGTCGGTGTCAGTGTGTTTGGGGGAGGCTATGTGCAAGCTGATGGCGCGCTCCATTGTTATTTGCCCCTCCTTTACATCGATAGGCTTTGAAAGACTTTCTGTTTCCTACGACCCAATCAAGGAATTCGCATGTTGAAAAATCTGTTTCGCAAAAACTGCAAAGGTTCAACAACTGCGCTGGGTGGCTATTGAGCCTTGGATTAGGCCTCAGGACCCCTGAACGCTGCGCCCCTGAACCTGTAATGACTCCATACCGTCGCGGTTCGAAGACTTTCAACGATGTGTTGCCAAATACAAGGAGAAATAACAACACTTCTACATCACGCTACTTGGAGGGTCAGGGAGGCTGCGTAAACAGGTTAATGACCCTTAGAAGCCTCTCCCCGCTATTGACCACCACCCAAGTACTGGTGCCTGGGAGCATACAAAAGCTGCACCAAGGCCGTTCATCTTGGCGTTTGGCGCCGTCTCAAAGTGCAAGAAGTGGTAGGCAGGATCCTAGCAACGAAGCCCTTTAGGGTTCAAGCGTTTTGGATCCGGGTGGCTTAATTAACAAGAGGTTCTTAACCTACTACTAATACCCCCTCGACCCCGCAAGGGGCAACAAAGCCCTTCAGGGCCCAGATGTGCTGTTGCCAGCACCTCCAAATTATCCTTCCTGGCTACGAGTAGGGTTCCTGTATGAAGTATGTAGACAGCTTTGCATTTTCCGAGGCCAGCCTTTCGAGAACAAAATCTGTGCTATTTGGAAAAACATCATCACCTGGAATTTCCTGAATGAGTACACCAATGCCCAAAGTATTTGCTTTCCCAGCTGGTGTGTCCGCTTTTGCCCTAGTCGACAATCACACCAACCAACAAGGGGCCCTTGAATCCTCGGCCTTCCGTGCCAAAAGCATACATCCCTGAACCCCAACCAAACATTGTAATAACAAACATCACAGAACCCTTACACCCCAAGACCTGGAATAGCAACACCCTTGACCAGCAAATCGCGGATCGCTTGCGGCTCCAAGGCACAAGCCCATGGTTGGGAGTTACTATACAATATGTTTTACATCGATGTAGAAAGTTCTTGTTTAGTAAGGCTCCAAGGGACAAACCCACGGTTGATGCCTAAACCCCTGAACCCTAAAACCCAATTAGCTCCAAGGCACAAACCCATGGTTGATGAGCGACTTCAGCCGATCGTGGTGCTTCTTATCGCGCGCATGCACCCAGCCGCCGTCCCCCGCAGTGATGGGCTTGTTGGCATACAGCCTGTAGGAATATGTAAGGATTAGGTAGGGATTATATAAGGGTTACCTAGGGATTATAGGGTATATTGGGGCTTCGGGTTTAGGGTTTAGGGGTCCAAAAGACTACGTATATCGATGGGTACCACGACCTTTACAGAGAAGGCAGCTTGCTATCCTTACTTGTCGTGCTGTTTTCTTTGTTCTCGTGCTTTGTGCTCTTATCTCCCTTGTTCCTCCTGTACTTGCTATTAAGACTTTTGGGGGTTGAAGGCCTTGAGCTTGGCCCCTACACCCTCATGTAACCCCTATGTAAACCCCATATAACATAGTAGTTTCCATTTTCCTTTCCATTACCCCAGTATATGGCGCAATATTACCCCAATGCATAGACCGACACGGAATAACCTTGAAGATAGCAAGTCTGACGAACATAGCTCTGGTTGAACAATGCACGAATATACAGCCTGCAACAGGACATGTTCCAGCCCTTCGGACACATGATCGCGCTCCATATGCGGATGCCCAAATGAGCCATGGTCTAAACTCCTAGTATTCCCAATAAAAATCCCTATAGTAATCCCCCTAAATAATCCACTACATAACCTCTTGAAGGAGTTTAGACTATAGCTCATATACCATCACTCAGATTCCTAATCAGATATGTAGCAATCTTCATCTTTTCCCAGACTGAAAAGCTGGGTACGGCTTCGACAGATAGATTGAAAGCACATACTTCCAAGGGCTCCAGCGTGAGATAAAGGAAGGTGGGGTCAAGGAGCTAAGCTGCTTAGGGTTTAGGGTTTAGGGATGGAATCTACAATACTATGTGGCACTTAGGACCCCTACTAAGGGTTAACCCCTACGTACCTGTAATAGGAACATAAAGGAATCCCAAAGGGTTAAGGGTCTAAGGTCCAAGCTAAGTCCCAAGGAGAATAGGAACCCTTTAAGTCGCCTACCTTACCCACACCATTTGAAGCCCCCGAAAGCCGGATACTGTTGCGGAATAATGCGGAATACAAGTCCCAGTCGTCTAGACCTGGGTATCTGCCACAACGAGCGCCGAATCCCCTTGTGAGTCCAACACAACGCATTCGCAGGACGTCTATTTCGAGAAACCTCTGCTTATGCAAACCTTCCAGAAGGTGGTACTCCTAACTGCGACTGGCAACGAGGTGACCGCGAAGTCTCCAAATGTCCCAACAAGCTCGCCGCCGTCAGCGCAGGTGCCCATGGCTTCGCAGATGTCCTGGCAACAGCATGCTTTCAACTGTTTCAAGGCAGGGTTTCCAGGAATTAAGGATTTTCTGGGGGTGGGGGTCTATGTTGGGTTTCCCGGTTTTTGGTAACTATCGTATGTGTATGTGGGGATTGGAAAAAAGAAGTAGTACCAGTTCAAACTTTCTGGTAGATGCCTGACAACCATACGCCAAGTATGCTTGCGACTTCATCAAGGTGACAGCCTTTCAGGGGAGTCGGAGGTCATGCAGGTCAACTCCTAGCAAGGAACCCTGCCACGACAAGTCATTGCTCCGGTGTCAACTGCTTCCATGTAGAAACCGCTCTACCTTCACGAGCGCATTTGTTTGGAGGGGTGCGAGACTGGACTTGCGACTTGGCTAAGCCTAAATTACTGCTCCCAAAACTGGGGAAGGTATCGGGACTCGCATTTACTATTGGTAATCCCACTAGAAGCATCCGTAGCACAATGAGTTCAAGGCAATCCCCACATGACTACCCTCATTCTCATTCCAACATTTCGGATCTTGACACTTCTAGAACCTACGTGCGAAGCCCCCGTCCCATTCAAAGTAACACTCATGGACGGCCTCCATACACGGTGCTCGCATGAGCGCAGGCAACCAGACAAGGCACAGCAATCTACCTGCTACCACTTGCTCAACCCTGAACCCTACAGAAAGGGACGCTGTGGACGCTAGTTTTTGGATGCGTATCCTGTTATATATCATACATATATATATATAGAGTGTATAGGTTATACATATTCCCAAACCCTAAGCCGAGTCCACATGGTAGTTTCCCAAAATAGGGGACCCCAATATAGACCCCAATTACTATAATCCTTATGATGGGAAACCCTAAATTGGTACCCCTAATTTTGGGAAACCCCCACATCCTATGACCGAAAGTCCTCCACGAGCCACCAGCCCTTCTCTTTGCACAGCGCGGCAATTTCGGCAATCTCCTTGCAGGCCACACCTGAGTAGCTTTTTCTTTGGTGGCTGAACCTAGGGTTCAGGGTTTAGGGTTTTTGGGTGGTTGAAGCTAGTAGGATAATATTCCTTATATAAAATACTATACCCCAAAAGGAGGATAGAATCTTACTCTATAATAGGTACCAGAGTATCTCCAAATGAAATACTACTCACCTGGGATGCAGGAATAGGAGTCTGCCTGTAGATTTCCGGGCTCGAAGTCAGGGTTTAGGGTTCAGACTATCGTCAACCCTTCACCGCGCATTTTTGGAGGCTGAGGACCTTCCTAAGAATCCTTTCTGCGAATGTCTGAAGGCTTTTGGACCAGGACGGGAAGCCCTTTGAGGAGTACAGACCCGACCTTATTCTGATCCCATTCCAGCAACAGCTGACCCCTTCCCCTACATCTTCGGCTCTACTTCTGCATTACACTTTAAACCCAACATAGATATGTTCTATATGACCACACCTAAATCTGCATACCCCTCGCCCTGAGCCGTGCGTATGCCTATGAGGCCTCCAACCTCTACACTTCAGACCAGCTGTCATTATATTCCTTGTTTAAAATACTATACTCAAAAAGGAGGATATGATCTTACGCTATAATGGGTACCATAGTATCCCCAAAATAAACTACTACTCACTTCAGACGAGCAGCCATAGGTATGACACACGATCACGGCCTTCGTTCGGGGCGTCGCTTTCTTCAGCAGCTCTGCCGTGCCCGGATTCACGGAGCCCTGGGCAAAGGAGGCTACACGGTTTCGGGGGCTACGGCCTAGGGTTTTGAAGGGTTTGAGTTTAGGGCTTTTGGGCTGTAAAGGATTCTGTGGTTTGAGGTTTGGCATGCTTAGGTATGGGTTCAAGTTGTTTGTCTCCGGGCTTGGCCAATAATTACGGATGGATTTAAGAATAACACAACCCTCAGGCTTCTAACCTCAAACCCAAGCCGTATCCATGGACCTGGGCGGAATCGCAGTACACTGGCTTGGCGCCCACCATCTTCACCATGTTCGCCACAGCCTGAGCAAAGTTTGGGGTAGTAGGAAAACCTGAGAGATGGGCTTGAGAAGTACTTGTGGAAGCTTTTGCCCGCTTAGAAGGATATCCCAGTCTTTGGTGTGAAGCCAGACAAGTCAGCAGTACTTTTTTCTGAGACTCAGAATATGAGTTGGAATGACTAGGACCACGAGCGCTCAGAACCCTACAGGGATGGCGCCCTACCAGGCAAAAGAATGTTTTTTCACGTGGGAGGTTGTCGAGACCATGGTTACTGCGGGTATCCTGGATGTTGGCAGCTGCATAAGGGACCAAAACCCTTAACCCTTTGACAACCTAGCTTGTCTAGCTCCAGCTACCCAACAGGGTTACAGATGGCCGCTATAAGGGGGTGCAGGGGGTGTATGGATATAGGGATGTATAGAGTTTGGGATGTACGCTCCGAAAAATAACGGCTTTACCAAGACAATTGTCCCTTTACAAGGGGCCTAGATTAAGCTACAATCCATATTACCTACATAACTTAATGGGCATGGTTGCCTTATTAGGGACTACTTGGGGACTATACTAAACTACAAGAGGGACCCCAATGTCCACCCTTAATAGTCCCTTGGTACACCTAATACTGACAGTAGCTCCTATGAGCTATAGTCTAAACTCCTAGTATCCCCCGGTATAAGCCCTTTAATACGGAGTTTAGACCCTAAACCCTAAACCCTACATAATCCCTCTTCGAGGAGTTTAGACTACAGCTCATATGGGCTTCCATGTTTCCTTGGGGGAGGCAAACCCTCCCTGAGCGCTTGGCCACCATGGTCAATGCAGGCACAAGGACATGGTCCTTGCTGGCAGCATCCAAAGTTCACGCTTCCACAATGGCCACATACGGGGATTTCCCAAAATTCAACATCGTTCTTCTTTTTTGAAAGAGTCTCGTAATGAGGATTATAATATTTTGGTGTCTATGTTGGGGTCCCCCTATTTAGGGAAACTACATATATGGTTTTTATAAATAAGAGAGCCCCTTTGTATGGAAGCCCCTGATGCTGATGTGTATAGAAAACTTTAAAATCATGAGCATAGTCGGCCTCAATCCTACTCTGTGTCTCCGTCACTAGTCTTCTGGTGGAAGATATGCAAGGGGTTTGGGGTTTAGGGTTTGGGGTTTAGGGGGTTTTGGGGGTTTTGGGCGTTTTGGGCGTTTTGGGGGGTTTTGGGGGTTTGGGGGGTTTAGGGTTTAGGGGAATCTATGCTATAGTAGTGTAATACCATTTTACCGTAAGATTATAGTACCATATACTAGAATCCGATGATACGATCATGCTATAATGTCACCCTTGCATTTTGCTAGCCGGATGTAACTTAGGGGCTTTCCTTTGAAGCCGAGGTACCTCATTTGTGGGTTCCGGGGTTGTGGGTAAAACGGGGTTTCCCAAAAATTAAGGGTCCATTTTTGGGGTTCCCATAATGGGAATTGTAGTATTTGTGGTCCCTCTATTTTGGGAAACTACCACATACTTTTTCGGACTGGTTAGGTGACACTTTGGGATAATTTGTAATACCTCCTGTTGTGGTACAAAGGTATTCAGAAATAATTTTGCGAGGCTAGAATAAACCCTCAACCCTAAGTCCTAAACCCTAAGCCCAGCTAGGGAAACCCTAGGAGACAGGGTTTTAGTACCAGAAGCAGTACCAGAAACCAAGGTAATTGCATAGGATAGAGAGAGGACTTATTCCCTCTACTACCCCTGTATAGCTCCTTTATTACCCCTCTTTTCCCTTATTGCCTACTAACCAGCACTAAGGTCGTGTTTTGGTTGGGATCTTGGCTTTGATAGGCTTCCTCAGCAGCTAGGACAAGCATGTACACAGCAACAAGCAAGATGCCCCTACCCCAAACCCTGCAACCCGAAACCGTCTCAAAGACCTGCAAACCTTAATATCTATATGTATATATACACTGTTATATATATATATCCCTCTCTCTCTCGCTCGCTCTCTCTCTCTCTCTCTCTCTCTCTCTCGACTCGAGTGCTCAAGCTCCACCTCCGGAACCCTGAACTGCCATCAAGCCCTCGGCCAAAGCAATCCCAATTCCATTCCTAAGCCCCACAGCGCTATCCGTGTGGCAGCCATGATCGGTCTGGCATGAAAAAGTTTGCTGTTACCTTTCTCCTGCTATGCGGCCTTACTGTCACTGGGTTGCACATGGCATAACCATTTCCGGACGCACAGTTACTGGGAGTTGATCGGGAATAAGAGAATGTGTCACGTAAGGGGTATATAGGGATTATATCCTTTTTCCCCACAAAGAACCAGTAAGCAAAGCAGATCGCATGAACCCTAGAACCCAGACTCCTGAGAGGATCAAGAAAGTAGATCCACCTTATGGGTTCCTCATGGGTTCCTAGAAAGCACCCAGTAGTAGTATAGGGCACCATATTGGGGCTTCTACTTTCTAGTTCCTTCCTGGGGTCTTGCAGTCTAGTGTGCGCTAGATATAGCCCTACCCTAAAGCCTAAACCCTATATAGCCCCATTATAGTAGTTTCCATTTCTTTTCCATTACATATATTTTAACCCCCCCGAAGATGAGATTCCTGTGCAGCCTCAGCATACTCAAGCAAGGAGCCCCAGTTTTGAGATATGCGAGTTAAGGCCGCAGTCAGTGAAATTAAATGGGGGCTTTCCAAAAATGAGCGGTACCTTTAAAAGGGGGTTCTACGGCTTATATAAGTATGTAGGGTTTAGGGTTTCAGGGGTGTTTTGCCCCACAGGATCCTCCTACTTTGGGCTAGGCAATGTCTCCTGCAAGTCGGCAAAAGGGTTTAGGGTTTCAAGGCTTAGGGTGTCATTTAGCTAGGGTTTCAGGCTTGTAGTACCCGCAGGGTTGTACCCGTACCCCTTTGTTTTGGGATCCTTTCAGGGACCCGAGGGAACTAAATTGGTTCATATAAGGGCTACATTACGGCCAAATTGGGGAATTTTTTCAGGGGTACGACCTTTGAGGGACCCTAAACCTGTAACCCCTGTATAAGCCGCGTAGGACCCCTATGAGCCCCTTCAAGGGTACCTTTAAATGTCAAGAAACCCCCATTTAGCCTCATTGACTGCAGCCTACTGGGCAAAGGTTGTCCTCAAGCAGCAGGGCGACTCGGTTGCAGTCATCAAACCCTAAACCCTGAAACCCTGAAATCTTAAACCCTTAACCTTAAAACCACAACCCCTAAACCCTAAAGCCCTGAAATCAAAAAACTCTTAACCTCAAAACCCAAAACCCTACAACCTGAACCTAACCACCCCCCTGAAGCCCCAAAGCCTAAATTTGACATCTTCAGGATTTAGGGTTTGGAGGGTCTCGCAAGGATAGCAACTAGGGTTGCACTAAGGTTGTACTATGGTTGTGGTGGGCGTGGCCAAAGTTAGATTCATGGATTCATTCTGCGTGCAGCTTCTTGGATGTTCTCCTGCAGGGTTTGCATACAGGACTCCCACAGCACATGCTGCGTTTGAAGCAGGAAGCAGGTAGGAAAGAAAATTCTCCCCACTCTAAACCCCAAACCATAAACCCTAAACCCCAAAGCCTAAACCCTAGACCCCTAAACCGACAGCTCTGAACCATTCCATAATGCTGGAACCCCAAACTCCCCAAGCCTTAAGTCCTTAACACCAGATCCTTCCCCCTGTTCAAGATACCAAGCCCCCCGAACTGACGAAGCAGTAAAACACATAGTAGCAGTTTCCTCTTAGTAGGTGAAGCCCACGCAGCTGTAGGTAATTTGGGTTGCAGTTTCAATTCTCCCTATATAACCCGAATATATACTCTATTATATTATAGTAGCTTCCATTTTCTTTTCCATTATCCCTATACAGCCCTTGTATTCCTAACTCCCTAAAGTCAAAGAGCCCAAGTCTCCCAAACGTGTCAGAACCACCCTAAACCTAAACCCTATTCTGGTGGAAGGAGCAGGCCCCTGCTGCAATGTCTTTCAAAGAGCTGATCCTGAAGTCCTAATTTTCTAGGAGTTGTAGACGGTTTAGGGTTTAGGGTTTCTACGGTAGTTAGTTGGTTTTCATAGTATAACCCTAAGGAGTTATTAAACATGCTATTTTGATTTTAGGTCTAAAGAGACTACAGTCTAGGGGTTAACAGGTTTTAAGTGTAGGGATGAGGGCTGCAGGTTCTGAACCTCGGGGTGTCCCTATATGAGCTATAGTCTACACTCTTCGCTGTGGTGTTCATTGCGCTTGCAGCCTTCTCTAGCATTGAGGTGTGGCTCATGTTGCTGCACACGCAGTCAATGCGTGATACCGCAGTCGCACTGGAAGCTATTCGCGTGGTCGCAACCATGTTCCTAGCAGTTTGGACTTCACTGTACTGCACCTGGGCCGCGGCGCAGGGCGTGATCGCGATAACCCAAAATTGCTTGGGCATGGCGCAAATCATGATGTACGCACGAGTGGGGCATCGTGGTGGCGCTATTGCTACTTTGGCTTTTGGACATCCTGCTGCGTGCGGGAGGGATCGTTCAAATGCACGCACGCGCTCCGGTGATGGGACATCATGGTGTTCCAACAGCTGGGGTCGCAGACAAGGCCCAAAAGCGGTTTCTGATCTGCCGTTGCCACCAACTCCTACTACCCCACGAGGAAAGGCCCAAGTAAAGTTTTTTGGTTTTATTGTTGCTCTGGGGAGCCTCAATAAGGGTTTTGGTTGGCTTGCCGACTTTTGAGTTTTTTTTTGGTGTTTATAGTTGCCTGACGTCACTTTGGGAAGTGACTCTCGACAACTATATACCTGCAACTTGTCTTGGCAAGGGGGTTATGCACGGGATTCTACAAGGATTATACGGCTTGTTAACGGGCATACTAGGAGTTTCGAGCATAGCTCATTAGTAGACTGCCAGAGCACCCTCACATGCAAGAATAACACCTAGTTCTGAACATGCGCAGATCTTTCATCCCCAACCTTCAGCCCCTAGCTATTTGCTTGCATAGAGATACACGGGCATAGGGATCTATTCGAAATGTACAACCCTAAGCCCTACTTGGAGGTTCATGTGACTAAGGAGTTCTTCCTAATTGAGATTCCAAGTAGGCAGAACATGCCTGTAGTCCGCCTCAGAGGCCTTCTGCGGGGTAACCCAATTATAAGTAAGTTCCAACACGGCAACAAGTGCTTGCTAATTCCCATTACCCTCCAAGTAGACCCTAAACCCTAAACCTTAAACCCTAAGCCCTAAACCTTAAACCCTAAACCTTAGACCCTAACGACTGATTCTCCAGGTCTCTTCCCCACCGTTTCAGCTGATGAACTGCAGTCCAAGATTGGTGACCCAGAGCCTGAGGCTCTCTGGGCTTTCGGTTGTAGGGTTGTAGGGTTTAGGGGTCTATGCGTTTAGGGGCTTGGGGGTTTAGGGTTCAGGGGTTTAGGGTTCAGGGGTCTAGGGGTTTAGGGTTTTAGGGTTTAGGGTTTGGGGTTTTAGGGTTCAGTGTATTTCATAAGAAGAATCGAATCTTGTCACCAGGCCCATACCTCGCACTTGAGTCAGGCAACCTGGGTTGCCATCAGCGAGCGTAAATTCAGTTATCAAAACGGGTATACATAGTATTCTATATATATATATACATATGAATACATATATATATATGTATATGTGTGGTATGGTTCTGCTAGTTCAGTGACCCCCCATTAAATCATTACATGGGGTGGAAACAAATTTGGGGTACCTGTTTGGGGGTTTCATACTAATGATTGTAGCGTTTGGGGGGTCTATCTTGGGGTCCCCATTTGCCCGCGCCGATTGCCCACTTCAATGGAATGTTGTGTGAATAGCAGTGTTTTGTGCTAGTGGATGTGGTCGGTCTGGACGCTATTGTGGGTGCCGGCACAGGTTCACATGTTCTGGATGCGGTCGTGGAGGGTGTTGTTCTGCGTCCCGTAGTACCCTCATGTGCTGTGAATAGCGCTGTTCTTGCGGTTGTGGACATGTCCTGCGGACGTTCTTACTGTGAATGCGCTTGCAACATCGCGGGGCTGCGGCCAAATGGGGGGCGGGGAGGTGGTTTTATTATGTCTCCCAAACGGGTTTTGCTTGGGTACACTTACACGACGAGTGTGTTTTGCTTGCCGCCGCTCCTGCAGGTAGCGTGTAGGGTTCTGCAGGGGACAAGCAGCATAACAGAATTGTTCGGTCGAGAAGCGATTAGTCGAACCTGGCAACGGCGGAACTCGCCACACATCTTGAAAGCCCATCTAGGGAGACCACAAAACACAATGGTAATTATCTCGGGTATAGTACTATAATCACTGGATGGGAGGGATTTTAGTGCCTGGGTGTTGGTTTTGGGCTTTGGAGGTCTAATCCGCAGACTGGGCGTTCCGGGCCGAGGGTCAGGGTTTAGGATTCAGGTCGGTGTTGCAAACAGGCTATGTCTCCCTAAGCCGTAATTAAACCCCAAACCCCAAGCCCTAAAACCCTAAACCCTAAACCAATAGGCCATGTCTCACATTGCTGCAGATACAGCCCGCCCCTGCGACGACACCTGCGGTTGAGTTTGTGCAGGATCCCAGCCCTGCGGCAATTTGGCTGGGGTTTAGGGTTTAGGGTTGGGGTTGCGAAGAACATGGTCCCTTTTTGAGTACCCTACATATTAGGGTTCGCATTACACTAGCAATCCAAAAAGGAATCAACGTTTCGACAATCTATCAATAAGCCCCGACATCCCCTAAATGCCCTCAGCAAGGCCTTAATTTGGAGGTCCCAATAATAAGGATTATAGTATTTTAGGCTTTATATTGGGTCCCCTTACTTGGGGAAACTACTATATCATCTATCATTTTCTTCCTTACTTGAGGTATATATATATATTTTTTTTTTTTTTCC